GTACTCTCCTGACCTGTCACCAATCGAACATGTGTGGGATGTGATTGGATGCCATTTGCAGACTCTGCCCCTGCATCGTTCAGAAGACGAACTGTGGCAAATGGTTGAAAGAAAAGGGAGAGCCATCCCTCAGGACACCATCCGCACTCTTATTGACTCACTTGATGCCTAGACGTGTTTCTTCGTGCATCGCTGTCCACGGTGGTCCTACATCCTACTGAGTCGACGCCATTCTCGCTCTGTATTCTGACCATCATTTTGAAATAAAGATCACTTATTGCTGCTTGCTGTCTGTCTTTTTCCAAATTTCATCACTTTCTGACCACTCCTTCTTGGTGTTGCATTTTGAATGTTGAGCAGTGTATATTGTATCCAGAATAATTATCAATATGTTCTTGCAGTTTATTAACCCTTATGTAAAATGCATTTCTTGAAAAACAAGGTCTCTGCATCTAAATAGAGTTAGTTTCAGTCAATTATGAATGTCAGCAACTAATTGCAGAGACAGTAATTTTCTTTTGTGGTATTCTTATAGCAAAAAAGTAATTTTAGAGCATACAAAAATTACTACTCGCATCCAGGGTTTTCAATCTGCATACTAATAAATCTTATATAACCTTATATAAATATTATATATAATTATATAATCTATATAAATTGACAGATATTTTTAAAAAATTCCAAGTGTTATAAACTGTTTATTGGTAACAATGTTTTCCTCCCTTCCCTCAAAAAGAAAACCCACACAATTAAAGCATTGTCCCACAGCATCAATCATTGTAGCCTCATCTTTTAATTTTTTCGTACAATTACTATTTAAACCTTTGAATACCAAAGTTTTAGTAGATATTCAATGATGAAAGATTGTAAACACTGCAATTGATCTGGACAGATAAGAAATGAAAAGGTTAATACAAACAATTAAAAAGTGTAATGAAGCATTTAAAATGATATTACAAAGGGTGCTACTTTGGTAGATGGTTGCACAGATTTTGGCAAGTGATACGACTTATGGTAAACCTATTGCTGGACAAGTTATTTATGGTTACCGATACTTTGTTGTCATTTTATTTAAAAAAATGAGTTTTATTAAGTATAAATTCCGTGTTTTAAATATTATTTATGGCTTCTAAATATTAAAAATCAATTTAATTTTGCATTTTTAATTGAAATAAAAATTTTATTGTTTATGATATTTTATATAATTTTATGTTGTGGATGATGTAATAATTGACATCACCTTACTTTAAAAGTAATAGGTTTTAATATCCATAAATTTAATCTAATGTTTTAAACATTATTTATGGCTGTTAAATACTAAAATACAATTTAATTTTGCATTTTTTTAAAAATAATTTTATTCTGAATGATTATTTAAATAATTTTAATTCTATGCGTGATGTAATCAGCTCCCTGGTTGGTTACCGAATATTTGTGCATTACCACGCCATTTTAAAATTTTTATTCATCTCTTTGAATTCCTTAGATTTTAAAGCGAATGGATATGTCCGTTTCGAATATAAACGTAGTTATTGGTAATTACCACGAATTATTGGTATCAAAATAAAAAATTTGTTCTTTGAGACCTTATTTTGGCCAATCTGGCTTTCTTAATCAAAGATTTATCAATAAATTGTTACAAGGGTCAGAGGAAATTTATTTTAAATTTTTGAAGGAAACCTCACTGCCTCTTCAATGAAGTGCAAGAGACGTAGATCACAGATGAAGATTGTTAAAAGAGCCGATTCTGAGGACAGCCGTATATGTATTGTTATCACAGTGGAAGAAATAACAGCTGTAACAGTAAAAAAAGTATTAAGACATTCCTTCTTTTTTACCAACAAATTTTTTTCATCGATATCTAAATTATGATTCCAATTTTTTTTTTGTGGTACTTATCAACATACGACAGGTAAAATACTAAAAAAAAAAAAAAAAAAAATGTAAGTACATATTTTTCTTTTACTTTATAATTGTATACTTCAATTTTTATTAAAAAATTAATAAACTGTTTTCAAAAATTGCCGAGATATTTATTGCCACATATGTTTTAATGTTAAATAATTATATCCTATAAAACTTATTTTAAAGTATTTGAATTTAAGTACCATTTTAATCCAATGAAACGTTGGTGCAATTTTTATAGCGGTGTTTTTATTCTATTTATTTGCTTTATAAAAGTAATAATTTAAACTTACTTTAGTATTTTATACTCTTAGCAAATGTATTTATTTACATTTGCCAGCCATATTAAAAAACAACATTTTCAACAAAAAATTAATCCATTTTTTTAACGATATTTATTATTTTAAAGTTTCAAATACTTTACTATGCATAAAAACAGCGTTATCGAAGATGGCTGCATGCCAACAATTGCGCCAATGTAAATCGCCAAAAAAACGTGCAACAGACGGTTGCACTTTGCTACTTTGGTAAACGACCAAAGTAGCATCTTACAAAGTAACCTAAAATAAACTAAAATGCATTAAAATCAAGATAAAATTGATGCTTTCTTTTTATTAGAGATATACTTCTTAATTTGTATAATTGTAGAATACTCAGAAATATTTTGGACTAGTATCAAAATTAAAACGTTTCTGGTGGTCTTAATCAGATTAGGAAATTTTCTTCATATAAAAAATATAATTATTAATACCAATACTTATTTGTATTCTCAGAAATACTGGCCATTGTTAGAGGTAGTCATTATGAAGGGATTCATTGTACATACATTTCAAATACTTAAAATATATTCAGGGTAGCATATACAATTATATTAATTTATTTAAAGTTACCAACACGAACATGAGTAAAGTTAAATGAATGAAATATATGTTATGGCATGAAGATTGCATGGCTGATACACATAAAATATAATGAACATTTTTATTTCCTTTTCAAAAATTCTTATATTTATTATTCAGTAGCGTATACACAGAAAGCACTCCCTAGCAACTGCTAGTAAAAAATGACCTATTGTTCATAAAATTCTGTATTTTTAACAGATGCAATAATTTAGCTTCAGTATTTTCAGTAGAATAATACCATCCTCAGTATGTTGGGAACAGTGGCGTAGCTAGGGTGGGGCAAGGGGGACATCTGTTCCCGGACGCAGCATCCAAGGAGTCAAACTGATACTATGAAATTTTTTAATGAAATGTTTTCCATTCTTGGCGCACAGAAAGGGATGCAAATTCTTCAGCTGTCCGTAGCAATTTAAGGTTAAATTCTCTGACATAAGTGCCTTTAACGAATGCAACATAATCCTCAGAAATAAAATTTTCTAGAATAGTCAAACATTTTATCTTTTGCTTAACTTATAATCTTCATTCATATCAGCTAATAAGATGAACACTTCTGACATTTTATCAATATGAAGAAAATTCTTGAACAATTTTTTCTTTGACAAATCATGCACGAGAATTTTGAAATCGCAACAACCCATAGAGATTTCTTCAGGTGGATAGTTAGTTATCCACATATTTATAACATGGCAAAGGTTTTAACTCTCAGCTTAAATCACATTTGTTTTCATAAATCAAATGGAAGCTCAGAATTACATCTTGACCCAATGATTATAAAACCAAGCTAAAATTTTAAGAAAATCAATATTCTGCAGTTTTTTTTTATTTCGGACAATATTTTAAAGTTACATGGTGGACAACAGGATGCAGTAAGTATATTCCCCTTGATATTTTTTCCATTTTTTGGGGGGAGCGGAAGGTATTGTTCAAATTTTATACAAATTTGTAAAAGTTCTATTTTATTTATGTTTCTGTATCTGCTTTACAAAATACAGAAAAGAATTAACATCTTTAAACAGCACAATTTCTGATGTGTCTCAAATACAAGAAATTTCTCTATGTTTCTCTTTTTACTTGTTTGAAAAGCAGTTGAGCATAATTGCATTCATGTTTTTTTTTATGGATTAATTAAAAAAATTACATAGTTCTTAATAAATGGCTAACAATATACATTTGCATTCAATGTCTCTGTAACGTGATTTTACACAAATGCTGGGTCATTATATTCACAGAAAAATTACATTGGGCTTACATAAGATCTGCCCAGACTTTGTTATGAGGCACTGTACGAGTAATTTCAAGACTGGTCATTAAGCTGTGCATCAATCATGGTAAACTAGAGAACAGAAATCAAGCTTAACATAAACATAATTCGTTTTTGTGCTTTAATGATTATTTAACTAAGCAAAGGATGAAATATGACAACTATGTGAAAGTGGGCTGTTTTTGCCTGATGAAGCTGGCACTATTTCACGAAGATGTTAATGGACTGTTTATTTGCAACTTTACACCAAAACCCTCATCCTTTATGACACAACCACTACATTTTACACAAACTGCATTCAGATGGTGAAATTGAACAGTTTAACATTACAAGTGATTCTGTCAATGATTTTAAATTTCTTTTACTATTTTATGAACATGACAAAAGAAAACTGAAGATAAATAAATAAAAGGTAAGGCTGAATAAAAGGGCGATTTAAACGAGTAAATATCTAGTATAAAGAATTTACGAAGTACATGAAACTCTAACACTGAAAGAACCACATATTGGTGCACATGGTTATTCAACAACTTTGCATACCCTACCTATAATGAATAATAATACATTTAAGTAATTTTTTTTAAATAACTTAAACGATAGTTTAAAACGAATATCCAGACTTTTAATATTTATAAATGAAAATAAATGATTACTTAAATTATATACAGCTCATTTCAAAACTAAAAGCATATTTAACTTAATACTACCAGCGTATTACCCAAGATCTGAAGACTATTCAGTAATACCAAAGAAAATAAAGCTACAGACTTATGATAAACTGATTGATTGAAATGTTACATTTGATCGCACTCTTAATTACTTTTGGTTTCAAGAATAACGTCATTACGCATAACGACGTTATAAATATCTGAAAAATATATACCTGTTAAATATTTATTAGTATGTAGTTAATATGAAATATGGGTACTCACCAACATTGTGAAGAGCTAAAACAACAGTAAACAACATATGTAAAAAACAGACAGGACGAACAACACTACCTCCGTACGCCATGATCGCTCTTTAACTTAAACTCTTTAACGTTGCCAGATGCATTTGAAGCAAGATAAATCTTAACAAGGTCATTGCCAAATTGCCAAGGCCACAATCTTAAAGATGATGATTTCAATTCTTTATAAATTCTTCCATTTCAGTCAGTTTACTGTTTTGCCCAACTTTTATTTATGAATTCTGTAAACTGTGAAAACTTTCTAATATTAATGATGCCTCCAAAATTTATGAGAAAATATAATAAATGAATTTTCCTTACTCACACGATCTCCTTTTAACTTAGATTAACGGCAAATTTATCGAATTTATTTAGAATTATTATATCTATGTTGTAACAGAAATAAACAGGGGGTTGTGGTTTGAGCAACGCTTCTAACTTTCATGCACTCTTAAAAATTTTATTCTGTTTAGGTAACATAGCATTTAAATGGGATTCGACCTGCAGACGCGGACGATGAAGGGCGTTCTAGCAAACACGAGTTTATCCGTTACCGCCGAGTATTTCGGATTGTGTTAGGCTTTCAGATATACTTTCGAGATATGCATTTCTAGACATGGCGCCAAACGTGAATTATGATAGTGATTATGAAGATGATATTAATATTTTGGGATGCGATACTGATTATACTTTCGGGATTTACTGGGGATGCGTAGTTGAGAAAATTAATAGCACTAGTTTGGCTTTCTCAGATAAGATTTTGAATTTAATTTTTATACTAGAAGTATTCGGACAGACGTGAGTTTACAAGTCCTTCTTGAAGATGAAGGCTTAAGTGTAATACTATAAATTCTATAAAATTCGTAAAAAAAGTAATTCTATAAAAATACAAGAAAACTTGTTTCTCTCTGTATGCTGAAGAAGTCAGTAAGCCTTAAAATATGTCCAATATATTTCGTTTTCGTCAATGTTTTAATGCACTTTTAAAATAAGACATGGCATTGTCACCAAAAATCTCATGCTGAGGCGTGTTAGTGTGTACAGGTTGATAAGGACAAATGTATTCACAAGTTTAATGTAAAAAAACAAACTCCTTAAAATAAATTTGTTAACAAGAGAAGCGAAGTAAAACAAATGATAACGAGTTCCTCTTTTGAAAGAAAATCCTAATATTTACATTTTATTCCAAACTATTTGTCCGTTGCCAATTGAGCAAAAAGAAAATTTCAGCGCGAAGAATTTGATGGATAGCGTTTCAGTATTGCAAACGATGTCTCCACAGAGTGTTATTTGGATAACATCGCCCTACAAAACTTTGCATCTTGCCTCATTTTTCAGGCAAGAATTTTAGTAACATTTCCCCCTTTTTTTGGGGGGGGGAAAGGCATTTTATGAATAATTTTTTTGCTGCTACTTTCAAAAGTTTTTCCAGTTCCTCCTCGTTGAGCTAAATCTTAGAGTTCAGCTAACCTTCTTTTACCTTTATGGTCTTATGGTAACTTCTACCTGTCTTGATTATTAAATTCTAAGACCATAGCACGGTAAAGTCGTTGAACATTGGTAGTTTGGTCCGAGGTTCGAATCCCGCGAAAAGTCTGGCTGCATGGGCGTTTTCGTGGTTTTCCCCATGTGTAACGTGTATACGAGCTAGTTTCCCTTAGAAAGTCCTCCACGAAGGCATCCCTTCCCTTAGGCAGATAGCCCTAGTGTGCTTTGCCATAATTAAATAAACCAATCTAATACCATATATACAGTAATACCATATCTATTATTATTACTGTCATTATTATTATGCTAAAGATAAGCTATCACAGGTGAAACAAATCGTCAGAAACAAATCTGTCAAAACCACTACTTTCTGCATATTCGGGCATTGTTTCTTCCAGCCGAATTAGTGCATTATAATCCTGTTTCTAGATGTCTTTAGATGCTAGTTTTGTGTTAGAGGTTACCTAAATATATCTTTCGTAATCAACTTGCATGTTTTTTCATCTAGATTCCTTCGGCCACTTGAAAGTTTTTCAAGTTCAGACAACTTGTTTCTGAGCAAATCTTTTTGTGATGAGAGGCATTTTTGATAGGAGGTATCCCTGAAATTTTTTTTTCGGAAGGGAAGGGTAAGGCTCCTCTAATATAGGAGCCTTAGGGAAGGGGGGGGAGAATTTTGAATTTTTTTTTATTTGATTAGAAATTTTGCTCTGCATTGTGGGAGCAGTGCATTTTTGTTTACTGTAGATGAGAGAAAGAACCGGCATTAAATCCTGAGGAAGACTCTTAAGGAATAGAAGTGTAAAGGGTATTCAGGCTTGAATCAACGATTTCTAGCTAATTTTTTTTATTCATTTCTGATACTCACTAGTGAAATTATGTCACGCATTAGTGAAGGGTATTTCTGCGACTTGCAACTATCTTGGAAAAGTTCTGAGAGAAAATATTTGTGCTACGTTTTTTAGCATCCACTGTGGATTAAATTTCTCCGAGTTTCAGTTGAACATTCTCTATCGCTGTATTAAGCTGCTAAGAAACTTAATAATTTTGAGAGGGAAAAACTGTATTTGACAAATATGAAAGTAAAATGATAAGACAATATTAATTAAAAAAATTTGTTTAACAGTTGTCATCACACAGTATTTTACAGCTGGTATTCATAATTGGCTATTTTTCATTAAATATTGTACACGTTATTTTATTCATTTTGGTTGTTACGTCAATTTCTTATGTTAATAGTATGTTTATAAAATGACTTGAAATGTATTATGAATAATGAGGTATTTTCATTTCTTCTTTTCTTGACGGTTTTTTCAGCATTCTCTAACCAAATAATGTTGAAGTCTCTTGAATTCTTGGAATGTGGTTTGGTTAGGCCAAATTCTTTTCGAAGTGCTATCACATTAAATCGTGTAATTGATCTGGAGCTGAGCAACCACAGCAGTTTAGAACCTTGTCATACAGCTGGTGTTAGAAGCTTAGATATAGATAAAATAGATGAAAGATAGTAAGTAATAATTTTTATTCGTTTAGTAGTCCATATTAATTTGTACTTTACAGTCATTTCTCTAAATATAAAAAAATAGATGAAATTTAAATATTTAATTATTTATAATAAATGTACTTCAGTTTCATGCTTTGAGCAAGTACACGAAATTGAAATGGGCAGTTGATATCTCATATGATAATTAAAGCGTTGTAACTGTATATAACTTAATTCTTGATTCTACGATTTATAGATACAAAAAAAAAAAAAAAAAAAAAAAAAAAAAAAAACGTCATTATTTTGAAATCTCGGGATTTTCTTCAGAATTTACAGATCTGCAGTCTAGTTTAAAGGGTACAAGTTCAAAATTACCGTCAATTATCAAGATAGTTTGTATATGGTTATAGCAAAATTCGCAGTTGTGTGATATGTATAATTTAAACATGTTGGCGGTAAAAGTTTTATTGCTTGTTTGTAGTTTTATATTAAGATGACTTTGCAATTACTTTTCTACTTGCATATCTAAAAAGAAATGTCTTTCCCTCTACTATTTACCATGTTTGAAATTCTTATTTCATAGTGTTTGGGACTAATAGTAATCAATATCTTCTCTGTCTATTCCAGCGTGCATTTTTGTTGTCATATGTAATGCAGTCAAAAGTCGTTAATCAGGACACCCATAATCCGGAATGATCTATAATCCGGACCTCAAAGCTATAAACTTTCTGCGCATGCATCAATGCATAATGCGTTCACGCATGTGTGTAATACTTTTACGCATGCGCATATGCATGTGCACATGCACATAATACGTTTATGCATGCGCGTTTAATGTATAACAGATGTTATAAACTAAGCTAAAATTATCTATTTCAGTTAACCCATTAACGCCCAAATTAACAATTCTTGAAATTTTGCCTTGAAATTGATAGACATTGTTAGAAATGCATAAATTAAAAGTATTTCAAAAGCATTTTGAAAAATTTTAACTGCAACCATATTTTTAAGCCGTCCTCATTTGAGGACACTGGGCGTTTGTATATAAAAATGTAAAATTTTAAAAATCAAAATTTTTTACATAAAATGATTTAGTTTTAATATATAAACAAACTAATAGACAAAATAATGTTAAAAATCAAATTTATTTAAGACGTGTAGAAAACTTTTTTTTACATTTTTAAGATAGATTTTTTTTATGGAAAAGAGAAAAGATGATTGATGCACATGTTACATTGCATTTCATGCAATATGTTCTTGGCTTTGAGGCACAATTGTCATATTGGCAACGCCTTTGTTTATCTCTTTTACCAATAAACATGCTGTATTTTGTCGAATTTTATGTCAGGAAGCACGTGTCGATTGCATGTTATCCTCCTTTGTACTGGTCTTCCTAGGATTGCTTTTGAGTCGGCTCCTTTTTTCAATAGGTTACTGCAATGTATCTCCTAAAATCTTTGATTGACATGAACGATGGATCCTTTTATAAATGAGATAGGCATTTACAACAGCCATATCTATCATCCTAGTATAAGACAAAATACCATTTCTTTCCTCGTATGGCTATAGAATGTTTCTTCAAGAAGCCAATCATGAAGGTCAACACCCCCCATAAAATGGAGTATAGGAACTTATAGCATGAGGCTGATTTACTTTCACCTTTCTTTTTCTCTACACTCCATCTTTGTTCTGAAGATAGCGGCCATTATTGTGTCCAAAATTAGTGGCCAATGAAACACCACTTATTGTCTTTTCATTTGACAACAAGAATTTCATTTGTTGTGTCAAATTACTATTGTAAAAACCCTCTCTCTTTCTTACTCATTATCTTGTCATCCATATTGGGCATTTTTCAGTACGATTTTCTCGAATTGTTCCACTAGCTCTAAACTTCAGTTCTTTTAGTTTTTTTAGTAACGCTATGACTGGTAAAAAATTATCAAAATAAACATGATGGCTCTTCGGATCTTCTACAATAGATAGTAGATTTAGCACCACTTTTGTACCTAAGGCCAGTTTGTCAGATTCGGAAGTATTTGTTTCCTTTCCACAATACAGTGCAAAGTTTATAACAGTATCCATCGTTGCCACACAGAGCCCAGAGTTTATACCAAATCTAATAGGTTTAGATTTTATAAACTGTTTCAGTGTATGATGACCATAATACGGACGATATTTCATCAACAGACAATTTTCATGGAAAATGCCCATTTTTGAAAATTCTTGGAAAGCATTTCTAACAAGGGACGATTTTAATGATTATCATTCTTGTTATATTGAGTAATTTATTATCTTGGAAATGCAATAATCTTTTGAGCTCTAGTAGAAATTTCTAGTCATAGCATTTCCTATTGTACTCCTAAATCACTGCTTCTGCCCAGTAGTCCCGTCACTGGGTAAGTATGACCCCGAAAGTATCAGAAATCCTATAAATGTTTTTATTCATCTTTAGTCACATTATAATCCAATTATTTTTCCTTCGTGAGCTATCGATTAGTTCCACGATCATATCATAAACACTTTCAGTAAAAATTCTCAAACGCTCAACTGGACTCATATATTAGTTGCCGTCAATATATCGAGAATTTCTCTTAGAAAGTTTTCCCCATTCCCAAATGTGTAGCCGGGCTTCATTCGTCCATACAATGACTCTCTTTACGTTTACGGGAATTGTTTCTTTTTTTTATCCGAAATAATAGGGTTATCGTATCATCTGGCATTTTAATTTCTAATGTACCTGCAATCTGATACAACTGGAGTACCCAAATTATCATCATCGAATTGTCTTCATCGTTAGATCATCACCATACGGAGGCATCGATATATATATGCTTCTATTTCTCAGAAAAAAGATAAGGCAGTGCCCTCTTCTAGCTTTTAAATATTTTTCTATCATTTTTCAGATTTATTATAGTTTTTCTGCCAACAAAAGTAACAAACACTTAAAAAAAATCGATACTGCATAAAAACTATACCCAAACGCCAGTGTCCTCAAACGAGGACGCGATATGTTTTCCTGTTTATTATGGTATTTTACAACAATAAATATTAACAAACATGCTAATGACACATATGGCTCTAGATTATTTATAACAAATTGAAAGAATTTACCTCATAAATCCAGTGCCATACAGTGGAACATAAAATAAAACAACGCGATTACCAAAAAATGGGTAAATATACTTATCTTTCCGCGCAATTTTACTTAGTTCCAAAATAATTGCACATCTCCCATTGTATGGTAGTGTCATCTATCGGACCAAATTGTACATATAAAAATTTTTTTTAATTTAATGCAAGGAATAACAATTTTTTACAGCGTCCTCAAATGAGGACACTGGGCGCTAATGGGTTAATGTTGCAGATTGCGTCATTCCTTAATCTTCGAATTGTATCCGGCTTATTATTTTTTACAGACTGTTAGAGCAATTTTATAAAAGTAAGCTTGAACTTTTGATTATGTCAAATAGAATTTCCGAAGCTGGAGCTGCCAAAGGATCTGCAAAGCGAAAGTAAGTTTCGATGTCCTTCAAACGAAAAGTGGAATTGCAGCAAAAAATGGATAAAGGCATATCCTTTGTTTCTCTAACCATTTCTAAATCTGTTTATCAATTTCACGCTGCTCTGCGGCAGGGGGGGGGACGCCGCGCCGCGTAATCAATTGGAAGTGTGATCTCTCAGCACTATCCTTATCTTCAGGACAGGTGTTGTTTCATTTTATTTGGCTTATAATTCCTTACTAAATGTTATATTTCATCTCGATGTACTCCGTCTTTGATATGATTTAAATCAAATTCCTCGTCATTATAATTTGCTTCCGATAGTGAAGAAAGTGACACAGAGGTTATTGAAAACGAAAAAATTTCGATTTAAAAATTAGTCGGTATTCTCGACAAGCAATTATAGACTTGAATAGCGGAACTTTGTAACTGAACAAGAAATTATGTCTGTTTATAGAATTAAGAGGAAGTATTATCACATAAAGCAAAGCAACTTAAACCACTTACATTGAAAGAAAGTTTATAAAGTAAAAAGTAAATATAAGCTTTTTTTTTTTTTTTTTTTTTTTTTTTGTAAATTTGCTACCCTTTAGATCATAATTGTTCTTTATTTCATAAATTACAGTTTCATATTTTTAATTTTATAATTTCTGCATGCCATTATACCAGATTTAAACTGCTGATCTATAATCCGGAACCACCGAAGTCCCGATGAGTCCGTATTAAAGACTTTTGACTGTATAATATTTCTATATTTTGACCATTCTTGATCAGTGGCTTGAGAGGAGCAGAGAGGGCAGTCCGTTGAAAAAAAATGCCTCTATAAGAGAGTATTTCAGATTTTTATTTCAAGGGTAAAGCACAGAATCGCCCACTTATTTGTTTAACGCGTTTTACAAGAGTAAGAATTGGATTTTTGTCAATTTTCTTTGACTTTTTAAGTGAAAATAGGTCGATGTGTAAATGGATAAAGTAAGGGAATGTGCAATTCTGGGATGTGTTTTTTAAGTGAAAATAGGTCGATGTATACATGGATACCAAGTATGTGCAATTCTTAAAAACACATCTAGCAGTGGGTGATTCTGCACTTTACCCAAAATTCTATTGCAGAGACTTTTCATCATGGGCAATTCCCAAATTGTTAAAATCTATCTATCTATGGTTACGGATCCTATATCGTGCCTGGGTATGCTGCTGACTATTTTGAGGCCAAACAGATTGCAAATATTATGTATTTGCCCTGCATCTCACTAACTGGTAAGGGATCACATAAACTAAACTCAGTGGCACAACAGCCTTAGTGGGCCATGGCCTGCATTGCCCTTTTTATGCTTTCTTGACCTTTGGGTCCTGGAGTACATCAGCATATATTCTGGACAAGTGGTCAGCTTATTGCAGGACCCCCAGTGTTTAGTCCCCAAGTGAACTTGGTACTAATTTTATTTACTCATAATAAATGATGTATGAAATAAATAATGGATGAAAGGCTGAGTCAATCTTTCCCAGCCCGGGGATCGACCCGCTGACCTGTGGTGCAGCTGCACGATGCGCTACCCACTTTGCCACTGGGCGCTCAAGGGATTACATACATCTGTATTAATTTTTGAAATCTTCTCTCTGATAATTCATACAAGTTTTAAAGGGGTCTTTACGTTTGTTTTAGGTTTCTTAACTTCCTTTATGTGCTGATACTTTCTCTTTAATTCTATAAACAGACATAATTTCTTGTTCAGTTCCACTGTTCAAGTCCTGTAATTGCTGTGTCGAGAATACCAACTAGCTTGTCAATTGAAATTTTTTCGGTTTCAATAACCACTCTGTCATTTTCTTCACTATCGGAAGCGGTACATCGTAACATTGTGTAATATCTTGTTATTTAATAAATAAGTATATTTATTGTTGAAGTGGCAATGCCATATTTGCATTATGTAACCATTGCTCAGCAACGTGAGAAATTGTTTTAAAGATTAGAATTCTGAAGTTTTTACCAGCTAGAGTAGTATGAAAGTTTTGCCACTAAATAATTTCTTCAAATTATCTATCTCCGTGAACTAGAAATAAAATTTATGTTCTAATAAGAAGATTTTTGTTTTGTCAATTACTGCAAAATACATTACAATTATTTTGCTTTGTAGATCTTTTGGTAGCTGCAGAATCGTAAATTCTTTTTGACATAATCGAAAGTTCAGGCTTACTTTTATAAAATTGCTCTAACAGTCTGCAAAAAAATAATAAGCCAGATCCAATTAGAAGATTAAGAAACAACACAATCTGCAACATTAACTGAAATAGATAATTTTAGGTTAGCTTATAACATCAGTTATACATTAAGCGTGCATGCGTAAACGTATTATGTGCACGTGTAAAGGTATTATGCACCTGCGTAAACGCTACCCATGCGCAGAAAGTTTGTAGCTTTGAGGTCCGGATTATAGATCACTCCGGATTATGGATGTCCAGATTAAAGACTTTGCACTGTATTTTAATTTAATTTTTATGTATCTGATATAATTTATATGCATATAGTAGATGAAATATGTCCAGATAATAATTCTTAACATTTGGCACCACTATTGTAATTAGTTTTTGAAGTCATTATGCTATTATGTTACTTCAATACAGAATAATCATTTTGTTTTTTTGATTCTGAGTGGATATTTTTGTTCCTCAGTAATTTTATCTCTCTGTTTGCATCCTTTTTCCTTGTGAGTAGTTTACTTTTGACATTTTTGTAATACTGGGAATTTTTTTTGTCATATTAAAGTTTACATTTTAATTTTGTCAACTATGGCTTCTTCTAATTTCTGTTTTTATTATACTTAACTTAAAATTTGTAATACTCTTAGCTTATTGTCTGGTGGAAAGAATGGAGCTTTATATATTCATGATCTTTTGAATTCTACTGGAAGAGCATCTTATGTGTCAAAAGCTGTGTGCAAAATTCCCTAGTAAGTATTATAGTACTTTGTGTGTTAATGTTCATAAGCATCATGTTATTTTCAAATTTTTACATATATGCAGTATTATTATATACTTAATATTTCTTTGAAACAAATCTGATAAAAAGTCATACCAAAAAAACTAGTAGAACAAGCACTTTTTTATAATGCTGCAGTGGACATTTTTATCATGTAACATATCGATAGAATAAATTATGTGGCTATCATTAGTCAATTATGCATTGACTATAGTTGGTCCTGGACAACTGAATAGGTATTCTGCATGGAGTTTTTGGGGTATGTCACTTGCATAATAATAACAGAATTGTTTTCCTTGAGAATTTTCTTAGAAGGCATATCTTCTAAGATTTCAAGTGTTTTGCTATTAATTTACTAACCCATTCCAACCCAAATTTGAAGCACATAAAGGAATCGTTTAACCAGCATCTAAAATACAATTTCTTTCTGATTATCTGCGCTCGAAAATTATTCCTGAGGCAATGCACTGTTTCACCAAATAGGCATACTCTGACGTCAGCTAAATATATTTATAACCCAGGTATGTGCATGCACAGCAGATGATTAATTGGCCCAAATGTCCACCTTCATATCTAATGGTCATTTTCCTGCTTAGTGTTTGATTTTGCACTACTAAGTACATTTTTTGTTTTTCTTATAAGAAATTGTAATGGGACTGTAAAGTTTGTTGGCTGGTTAAAAGGAAGCACTGCATTTCTCCAGAAAAATGGTGGTTTACCTAACAGTAAAAAAATGCAGAAATTTGCATTCCATGGAGTTTTACTTCTTAAATAATCAGATTTTATGGATTGAAATTTGTACATGATGCTAAAATTGTTTGATGCCATGTTTTTTTTTTTTTTTTTTAATTGAAAACAAATCACGATGTACATAGGGAGAACAACAGTCTGCATGATATCAAATTTGTGCAATTCTCTGATTTTTTTTTTTTTTAAGCGAAAACAAATTGCTGTGTGTGTCAGAACAACAGTAAAAAAAAAGAAAGAAAATGGCATAAAAATTTCTTCTTTTCTCTTATTTGTCATATTTCTTGCATTTTAAATTTTATCGATTCATTTCTCTTTTATGAATTCTTAGTGTGCCGCCATTTTCAAAATGGCTGTTGCCTTTTGCATATTAGCTGGGCACAAGATTAGTCACCAATGAATTGCTGACTTTTTGGAGCTTCGTACAGATAACCAGAAAGTACCAACAAGTATGTAGAACATCAGCTTTATCAGTTGACTGTTAAGAAAATTAAAAGAACATATATATATATATATTTTTTCTGCACAAAATGCTGCCATAATTATCTGTTGAATTTCTGATATTTTGTTGATAGATTCAATCTAGACTTCAGAATGTATTACTTGAATATGACATAGAAGGTTGCTATCATAAAGTAGTCAAAGAGCTGGATAAGCTGGATGTAGCATGCAAAAATTGATAATTTTTTTATAACTCCAGTTTTGTTCAAAAAGCATAATTTCAAGCTTGTTAACTTACTGTCATTTATAAGTGTGATCAAAAGAATTCTTACTGAAAGTATCTTTTGTTTTCTTGCGTTTGAAAGTAAGTAAATGTATAGGCTTATATGTGAAACATTATTTTAAAAAAACTTTGTGTACAAACTTGCACTCAACATAATATGTATAAAATACATAATAAAAGCTTAAAACATGCCAGATGCCATACATAGGATGAATCTGAATAAGTGGGCAAAACTTTACAGAGTGATAGAAGGCAGCTATACGAACAACATTCATCATAGAATGTATGGTTGGAACGTAAATGGCAAGCCGCTAGATGACATTGTAAATGGTATAAAAAGGGTCAGTCTTTGCACCCAGTGGCATTTTCTACCGTGGATTGTCAAGAGGATGGCTGTTTATATGAACCACGAAATTTCCTGGGCAATGGATTGGTAGCCTGGCACATAGCTTTGCCACTAAGATCACTGGATCTCTCATGTTTGGACTTTTTCCTGTGGGGCCATATGAGAAGACTAATTTACGAGTGTCCCACTGAAAGAAATAGTCATCAGTATGGCCATTGTTGCCGGTGATACTTGGGAAATGCAGGGTGTTTTCACAAATGTGTGTCAGTTCCTATCCCACAAGGCGAAGGGGTGCATTACAGCTGACCTTCCACCTGTCTCTCTCATTTGCATAATTTTCAAAAAGAAGGGGGGGAAAGAAGTTTTTAGTATTCTAAATTATTCCATTTACTTCAGATTTCTAGATAGTTGAATACTGATAATCAGGTTTTTACAGTACTTAATTTAACCATTTTATTTAGCAAAATAGTTGCTTTAAATTTTATTTTTCCACATTTTGAGCAACATTATAATATTACAATGCATACAGAAACTGTGAAAATACACAAAGTATAATTTATGTATTTTTTTCCCTCAGGAATTAGTTTTTGTAGCAAGGCTTAATTTTTAAAATAAAAGCTATTGAAATTCTGTAAAGGATTCCTTCTATTGATCTGAAAATTTAGAAAACTTAAATAAAGTAACATTAATGAAAATAATATATGATGATCAGTCAAAATGGAATAAAAGATTAATATATATAAATTTAACAAATATGTAATAATAGAATATGGATAGGAATACAAATATATAAAATTAAATTCTTGACAAATAATTAAATGAAGAAAATAGAAGTAAAAATATCTTAAATATTAAAATATATGTGAAACAAATAGAAGGAGATTAAATTATTTATAGTGAGATATGATATGAGGAAAAATGAAAATAAATATTCTAAACAGTATTTCATAATATTATGTTTTAAACAAAAATATATTTGTAAATAAAAAATGTTTGCCATAAAGAACTTAGCACAAATATTAAAGTGACACACTAAAGTTTAAAACAAATGTGTAACTATCAATTAAATATCAAGCTACACATTATCTTCACTGTTGAAATTATAGGTATAAACGTTCTTTAAATTTTTATCCCACAGGAACTTTGATATTATGTCTTCTACTGTGTTTCTGCTAAAATCAGTTTGAATATTGAACCATGTTATAAGTTTTCAAGTGAATGATAAGCAAATCTTTGCACAAACATACAAATTTATCTCTGTGGCTTAGATCAACCACAACAGTTCTTCTTCAACTTAATTTATGTTTCTTACACATTTCTTATATTCTCTTATTTTTAGCAGTGTAACTTAAGCTTCCCCTTTTCTCAGGGAAAGAGCGATGTGTATTCAGCAATCAATAGCAGTCTTAGCAAATGTTAAAAGAAGTATTTTATGAATAATAAAATTTCTTGCTGGTATTGGAATTCAGTTTTGTAATAAAGAAATAGCGAAACTGTTATTGTGTGTATGGCATTCGGCAAAATGTAAGATATTTCTCTTTCAAATTTAATCTGTCTGTTATGTGTTAACAAACTAAGCTATTTAAAAGCAATAGATGCCATTCTTAAGAACTTTATTTTTTTACTTTTTAATCTAATTGATTTAAATAAAAATGCATTCAATTCATGATGTATCTAATTAAAAACATTGACTATTTTATTGAATGATGCTGTATGATTTTCCACTTTTCAAATATGCAGAATATATATATATCTATATATATAATGTTCCCAAGTTATTATATATATATATATATATATATATATATATAATGTCCCTATGTCCAAATGTATATTCACCTGAATAATATAAAATGTTTTAGTATTTCACCTGGGCCACCTCTACTGAAAATCTGTAGTGATAAATCATACTAAATTTTAAAAGAGCCCTTTTTAGTGACCATTAAAATATGAACCATCTTAGATATTTCTTTTTTTAGCACCAGTGGTGCTATTAATCTCCAAACTCATTTTTTGTCCATTTCAATTTTCAAACAGTTGCCACCAAATATTTTTGCAATGCATTATTTAAAAAAATATATATATTGAAGAATCTTTATGTATGTAGGAATATTTCTTGCACTGTGGGAAAATGATGGCAACTAGAGCCGCCGAGTTTTGAATGCACATAGTTCTCCACCCAAATATGGACACCTCAAAGCCTGAATTTTGAATTTGTTTTTCATTTGTTTCATATTTTCTGCAAATTTAATAAAGTTTTATTTGATAATTTCAGAGATTTAAAAGCAAGAAGTGGAAACTATTTAAAATAGAAAAAGTTTTTATCTGTACCATCCTAGACTTGCCACTTGGCAAAGTGTGAGATATTTAACTTTCAATTTGATCCATAGATTCAGCTATTTGAAAGCAATGTAAAGCCACTGCTTCAGATAGAATACTTATTATCTCCACACACTAGCATCTTGCCATTCAGTAAAGTCTAAGATATTTAGCTCTCACATTTAATCTTTCTGTCACTCAGTAGCAAACCAAGTGATTGAATTGCAGTAAGTGCAGTTCTTAAAAATCCATTTTCTACTTTTTAATGTAATTTAAATAAAAATTCACTTAATTCATGTGGTGCTTAATTCGAAATGTTAAATATTTTTATGTAATGACACTAGCTTGACTCATAAAATCATTAGATACTTTTTCTTTTTTATGATAACTTCTTTAGGTGGCTGAGTGTTCAAGTGCCTAGTTTTCAGAGAAACAATATAGTGAATATAAAAACGTGTATAGCAATTGGTCATAATATAACTGATAGATGTTTGTGTTTAACAGATATAAGTGATAAAAATAATTGCTGTTTTATCCATATGGTTTATAAAGATAATGCATCTAATGAAGAATTGTTCCATAGGATTTCATTCGAAGAAAAGATTTGAAGTGTAGATATACAGTATAAAGTCTGAAATCTGGACTCGTTGGGACTTTGGTGATTCCGGATTTGGGATTTTTCCGGATATTAGATCATCAGTTTAAATCTAGTAAGATGGCACGTAGAAATTATAAAATTAAAAATATGAAATCATGATTTATGATCTAAAGGGTATCAAAATTTACTAGAAAAAAGCTGAATATTAATTTGTTTACCTTATTAAACATTTCTTTCAATGTAAGTTGTTTAAGTTGCTTTTTTTTTTTTCGTGCTAATACTTTCTCTTTAATTCTGTGGACAGACATAATCTCTTGTTTAGTTACATTGTTAAAGTCCTGTAACTGCTCTGTCGAGGATTCCGACTAACTTGTCGGTCCAAATTTTCTCGTTTTCAGTAACTTCTCTGTCAATTTCTTCATTATCGGTAGCGGTATTTTCTGGATCTAGAACCATACTACAGATTTCGCCATTTACTAATTGATTGGTAATTGAGAAGCCTTATCATCACAATGAAAAACTTCTTTTATATCATCTTCATTTATTACTGCTTCTCCACATTTCTTTGCAAAATCTGTTAATTGGAAAATTTCACCTTTGTTTTGTGATATCCAAAAACCTTTAAAATTAGCGGCTATCGTCATCAAATTTAGTTATCCTTCACTATACATATTTGGCTATGCATCATGAGTTTGACGACTGACGACAAGTTGTTCCGTTAAATTTTATCTTGCTTCTATTGGTCACCGAGGCAATTAAGCCTGAATTGTATTAGTTATTTATTATAGTTATGTCTATTTCTTGCACATGCTTAAGGCTTATCAGAGTTATGAATAAACACAGTCAAAAGTCGTTAATTCGGACACCCATAATCCGGAATGATCTATAATCCGGACCTCAAAGCTACAAACTTTCTGCGCATGCGTCGCGTCCACGCATGCGCACAGGCGTTTACGGAGCGCATAAGACCCTTACGCTGCGAATATTTTTGTGCGCATGTGCGTTTTAATGTGTAACGGAGTTTACGCTAAGCTAAAGTTATCTAATTCATTAATGTGCAGATCGCGTTGTTCCTTATCTCGAATTGGATCCGGCTATTATTTTTTGCAGACTGTTAGAGCAATTTTTAAAAGTAAGCTTGAACTTTCGATTAGTCAAATAGAATTTCCGATATATATATTTACTACAAAGCGAAAGTATGTTTTGAAATCCGAAATCTGTTTTATAAATTTCACGCTGCACGCGGCAGGGTGGGGGCAGAAACGTCATTATTAGATTATGATAGATTAGAAGATTATGTCAAATAGAATTTCCGATATAATATTTACTAATATTAATTTGTATCTACAAAGCGAAAGTATGTTTTGAAATCCGAAATCTTTTATCAATTTCACGGTGCGGATTGGAAGTTGATCTGTCAGCACTATCCTTATCTTCAGAGCAATTTTTTTATTTTATTTGGTTTTATA